AGATCTCTTAGCACAAGAGAAGTTAATATCTGTAGGAGAACAAATAGTTTCTGTTTGTACCATTCATATAATATAAGAATGTACAAGTGAACAAAAAGTTCATATCCATTTAAGAGGTTACAACATTTCAGAAGTATTTATTATTTTTAGCTCAAGTTACAACATTGCATAAAGTTACTCAAAAGTCATGTTTTCCACCTCTTCTCGAATGGAATCAAACAACACGGTGGAAAGATAACGCTCTCCAGAACTAGCAAAAATAATCTGCATACATAATTTTAGGCCAGTGTTTAAATGCTTTAAGGAGACAGAGAAAGAATGTTATCGATCGATAAGCTTAATGAAACAGATCTAACTTACTGCAATAAGTTTCCCAGCATTTTCAGGCTTTTTTGCTACTTGAATTGCTGCAGCAGCTGCCGCCCCTGACGATACTCCTATCTGATAGTTGCAATGATATAAGAATGGAGGACTCAGAAGTGATCTTTATTGACGGGTGAACTTACCAGCAGGCCTTCTTTCAATGCAATAAGCTTTGCCATTTCAATAGCTTCATCACTAGGTACCTGATTAGACAGTCATACAAATTTAAATGTTTGTAAAATTTGACAACTAGTATTTATATAGTATACAACCTTACATGAAGAACTAGTATTTATATAGTATACAGCCTTACTTGAAGAACTCCATCCAGGATGCTGAGATCGAGAACGTCTGGGATAAAACCAACACCAATTCCTTGAATTTTATGCGGCCCTTTAACATTTAATCACACACATATCAATCAGTATATGATAAATAATAGTTCGTCGAAGCAGAGATGAAAACAGGGGAACTCCTATGTACTGACCTAGTTGTCCTCCATTTAGAATTGCATTTTCAGCTGGTTCTATACCATATACCTTTATTTCTGGATTCTTCTCCTTAAGGAACTTTCCTGCTCCCGTCACCGTGCCTCCAGTCCCAATCCCTGCAATGAAAATATCAACTTTTCCTCCTGTGCTCTTCCATATTTCTGGTCCCGTTGTTTCATAATGGATCTGTACATTCATACTTGATAAGTATGACAGACGTTTTTGTAGCAAATTAATGAACAAATTATTTGTATTGGAGACACCTTTGGATTGGCAAGATTCTCAAACTGATGAAGAAAATGACAGTTTGGGGTCCTATCTAGTATTTCTTGAACCTTCTGAAGCACACCATCAGAACCTTTGGCTGGATCTGTGATGTATAACTCATCCCCCAAAGCTTTAAGAACAATCCTTCTCTCAAGACTATACGATGATGGCATCACTATCACGAGTTTGTAGCCACGAGCTGCAGCTATAAATGCAAGCCCAATGCCGGTATTACCACTGGTTACATCAAGAAGGACACTCTTCCGGCCGTCATTAATTCAACATTTGAAAATACAAGGAAATCATTTCAGTTCAGCAGTTTCAGACAATAGGACAGAATTCAAATAACATGAAAAGTTATGTTAATCCTAGTTTTATCATCACACTTGAGAGTCATATAACAATATCTTTTCAAGCTGTTAATAAGTATTCTCGAAACGAATTTCACAAACCTTTCCAGGAGTAATTAGGCCCTTATCTTCTGCATCTTTGATCATACTAAATGCAATCCTACAAATCAGTAACAGATGTGAAAAATCCGTAAATTCAAGATTTTCAATAAGAATGATGTATAAACTGGATGAGGGGATTGAAGGTTAAACACCTGTCTTTGACACTTGCACATGGTTGCATATACTCTAATTTGGCTGCAATTTGGGCAGCACAACCTTCAACTATTTTGTTGAGATATACCATAGGGGTGTTTCCAATAAGCTACATTGTGAAGACAACAAAATGAGATGATTCGATGCTGAAATAGGAATATGTAAAGATCGTACCAAGAAATTAAGATTTCAGAAAGGAAACTACATCTGTGACATCTTTCGCGATCTCATGAGTACTCTTTGCTTCCATATTGTCTTGCTGACTTACTGCAACAAGAAACAAGAGCTAAACATATTCAATAATAGGAAGAAAAGAACGACATATGTACCTAATATACTCTCGACCGTGGAAGTGAAACGAGAATGTATGACAATCCAGATAACACAATGGAAAATCTCTTTGCTCAAGAGAGTAAAAAATCACCACGTACAATGTGTGGAATTTCAGCTATCAATCTCCACTGACTTCAACTAGCGGTTTCAAATTACAGCCAAAGAGCAAAGTTGGTGGTATTAATACATTAATATCTGCAACACGCAAACAATGCAACTACATATTATGTAATTTGCATGTTTTCCATATTACTAGTAGTGTCTTTTCAATTCAAATTGTATCCTCTTTTGATTTTTTTTTTATATATATATATATATCATGAAATAAAATAGCGGATAACAACCTATTCGCATTTTAAGGCCACACAATTAAAATATCTTTTGATACATTTTACTTATTTTTAATTTAAAATTCAAAAAATTATTTATTTTCTTAAATTTCATATCAAGAAAATAAACAGACAAGGTAATACCTTTACAACTTAATTTATGATTTAAACCACTTTTGGTTAATATTCTGTCTGTTAATAAGTTATACATTATTAAATCTTAAGCTCGTTTTAAAAATATCAACCTCCTAAAAAAGAGGATTTAGCCTATATTTTTTATTATTATTTCATAAAATTTAATAAAGTATTTTCAATATTCTTTCTAATTAATAAACTAATTTCATTTATGAAGAGTTTTTTAAAAAGTACTATTTGATCTTTAGTAATAAAGTCAAGTGCTTAGTTTTAGACCAAAAACTATAAATTCGTAGACATTGTAATATTTAAGATGTCTAGGGTTAGGCAATAGTCCAATTGACAAAGAAGTAAGATAAATTTTTTTTAGAACTTGCATTCAAAATCGTTGATTACATTCTCAGATGATTTTACCCTATCTAAATTGATAATTTCATAACTATTTAGGTTCACACGTCCCAAAAATCATTTCTAAATAATAGTGAGGAGGGGGGGGGGTGGTAAACTAAAATTGTATGTCTTGTGTTGAGTACAAGCCCAACATTTTGTATATATGTTCATCAACCTAGATTTTTAAAACATTTGAGATATAGAATAAGCTTTAGTGTGAGATTTTTCGGTGAATTCAAATTTAGTCAAATACAACACTAAGTGGGAAAAAAAAGAAAGAAAAACCGGAATAAGGTACAATTAGCACGAAATTTGAAGTATCAGGGGTGTTTTAGTTGATAAAATTATATAGTAATTTGCTCATGTGAATTACACTTATAAGACACTATTAAAACTCCACTACTTATTCAAAAGATTATGAGTTATCAGTTTTTGTAAAAAATAATACTACTAATTATAAGTACTTTACAAACAAAATTATACAGCAACCCAAAAGAATTACAAAGTTATACTATATAAGCGAAATGGTCTGATAGACTCTTATATTTGTATGCGTTTGTATTTTGAACCTTCTTGCTTAAATCATTTGTCAACTGAACCCTTAAACTCAATGAAATACAATATTTTAAACCCCTTTGGCTTTGTGTGAACTTCAAATGCACAATAAAAATGACATGTCACTATCCACATCAGATTTTATATGACATGTCATTTATTATTTTATTTTTTATAATAACTTAATTTTTTCTGATTTTTCTCTCCACCCTCATCTTCGTGTCATTTGATCAACACTTGTAAAACCCTTTTCTCCATGGATGGTAATGAATCACCATTAAAGTATTTCAATATGTGCTAATATTTATACACAATTTTACACAACATATTTCATCTAATTTCATAAAGACATTCAACAATTATTTTCCACCTTTGTTACTTTATCCTAGAAAATAGAAAAGAAAGATAAATCAAGAACAACATCAAATTAAAAGATAAAGATGGAGCAATAAGGACACTCATTAGACATATTTCTTCCGCAAATTTAGGTATTGCACCAATTTTCTCGATTTTTCTTTGCTCATTTTGTTCTCATTTTTTGCACAATCTCATTTCTAATTTGGGGGAAGAACAAATGGAAAAAGAAGAAGAAAAAAAGAACTGAAAAGGAGTGTGGGGAAGGGAGAACGAATGGAACAGGGGATTCGGTCGGGGAGCAACAAGGAAGGTCATGGACTAGTGCTTGAAAAAGGAAAAGAAATGGGGAGGGGTTTGGGAAAGAAGAATGGAAAAGAAGAAAGAGTGAAATTTTTTATTTTTATTTTATTGTATTTACCTTTTTCTTTTAATTATTTTTAATCTAAATTTTTATTTCCACACGCCTTTTTTGTGAGAAATAACGTGCTTATACCAAATCAACAATTAAGTCGCCACATAAGCTCGGTCAATGGTTAGAGGGGTTTAAGGTGTTGAATTTTACTGAGTTAAAAGGTTCAATTGACAAAGAGGTAAGTGGAAAGGTTCAGAATACAAACTCATTCAAGTATAAGGGTCCATCAGTTCATTTCGCCTACAATATATGCAAGAGATTATAAGTTAACTTCTTTTTGTTTTTTTTAGTTCAACTTGTAATATTTTGACGTTTTCTTATATGCATGCATTTTTGGAAAAGAAAATTAAAGTAAAGTTTACAGTAAGATAACAACATTTTAAAAAAATAAAATAATATATTTTGTATGTTTAATTTGGAAGAACATTTGCTGGCATCGTACTACAGTATCATGAATCGTGATATAATTTCTTCCATTTTAGTAGTTGTTATCATAATACAGCTGGCAAACAATAGATTAACCAATAATCCAATAGCTAGATTAACCAATAATTGACTTTTAGTTTAAAAATAATGTTGTTTATCACGAAATATGCATATGGAGAAGGTCAAATTGAGCTTCAAGAAGAGTAAGTTATTTTATAATTATAATTCTTGGACTAATTTATCCCACCTCACAGGATTAAATTTGAAATTAAATTTATACTTTGATTGATTGAAAATATAAATTAATTCATCCCAAATTAATATATGCTGGGATATCCCATTTAGACCAATTTAGGAGCTTACAATTCAGTTGTTTTTACATATAACTTCCTATCTCTCAATCCAAAGAAGCATAAAGTTACTCAAAAGTCATGTTTTCCACCTCTTCTTGAATGGAATCAAACATCACGGTGGAAAGATAACGCTCTCCAGAACTAGCGATAATAATCTGCATACATAATTTTAGGCCATTGTTCAAATGTTTTAAGGAGACGGAGAAAAAATGTTATCAGCTTAATTACTGAATAGAATTAACTTACCACAATAAGTTTCCCAGCATTTTCTGGCCTTTTTGCTACTTTTACTGCAGCAGCAGCTGAAGCCCCTGATGATATTCCTACCTGAAAATATTCCAAAAGAAAAATTAAGTATAGCCGTGACGACGACATAATAAGAACACACATCACAAATGAAGCGGTAGACAAGCAATCTGTGGATTCAAATAAAAGTGATCTTACCAGCAGGCCTTCTTTTAATGCAAGAAGCTTTGTCATTTCAATAGCTTCATCACTAGATACCTGAACATTAAATAAAAACAGAAGCTGATATCATACCAGGAAAACTTAATACACACTGAACAGAAAATATAAATGTTTATATGGTATACAGCCTTACTTGAAGAACTTCATCCAGGATGCTGAGATCGAGAACAGGTGAGATTAAACCAGGACCAATTCCTTGGGTTTTATGTGGCCCTTTAATGGTAATAACATTTAATTACACATATCAGTCAACGATTAAAAAATAAAAAAACTCACAGAAAGTAGTGATGAAAACACGGTATGACAGATGAGCTGGAAAAACTCTTTATATGGAACTAATGCAATGGCATTTTCAAAGGGGAAAGAAACTCGACTGACCTAGTTGTCCTCCATTTAGAAATGCATTTTCGGTTGGTTCTAAACCATATACCTGATCTTCCGACAAGACAAAAGATGGAAAGAAAATCACAAATCAAGTCCGAAGGAAAGAAGAACAATGCCGGTCACAAATTACCTTTATTTCTGGATTCTTCTCTTTAAGAAACCTTCCAATTCCTGTCACTGTGCCTCCAGTCCCAATCCCAGCAATTAAAATATCAACTTTCCCTCCCGTACAATTCCATATTTCAGGTCCAATTGCTTCATAGTGGATCTACAAAACGAATACTTGATAAGTGTGATGTTTTTATAACAAATGAATTGAGTTATTCGTATAGACACCTTTGGATTGGCAGGGTTTTCGCTCTGATGAAGAAAATAACAGTTCGGTGTTCTATCTATTATCTCTTGGGCCTTCTGAAGCATACCATCCATACCTTTGGCAGGATCTGTGATGTATAACTCATCCCCCAAAGCTTTAAGAATAATCCTTCTCTCAATACTATATTTTGCTCCCATCACTATCACAAGTTTATAGCCACGAGCTGCTGCAATAGATGCAAGACCAATGCCGGTATTTCCACTGGATACCTCAATGAGGACCGTCTAAAGCCACCATTATTTCAACATTTCGAAAACCAAGAAAATAATTTTCGCTCAGCCTTTCAGAGAAATGATCATTGACCACAGGGAACTACAAGTAAAATTTGTGACAAAGTACTTGGAATCACATAATGTGTTCCTTTTTCCTCATGATATTTATTCTAACACAAACTTAACTAACCTTTCCAGGCGTAATCAGTCCCCTGTCTTCTGCATCTTTGATCATACTCAATGCGACCCTACATATTAAGAATAATTCAAGATTTTGCAAATTGAGCGAAGAAACAGGGTGAGGGGAGTGAAAGATAAACACCTATCTTTGATACTTGAGCATGGTTGTATTGTCTCCATTTTGGCTGCAATTTGGGAAGCACAACCTTCGGTGACTTTGTTGAGATATACCATAGGGGTGCTTCCAATAAGCTAAATTGTGAAGACAACACAAAATGAGATGGAATATGATGATGGATGTAAAGAGTACAAAAAAGATGTCAGACAGGAAACTACTTCTGTGACATCTTTTGCGATCTCACTCTTCGCTTCCATATTGTCTTGCTGACTTACTACAACAAGAAACAAGAGCTAAACATATTTAATAATAGGAAGAAGAGACCTACTATACTCTCAATCATGGAAGTGAAACGAGAATGTATGACAATCCAGATAATTAAGGAATGTGCTATATATCTATAGCAATCATACAAGAATAAATCCTACTCGAACTTTAACACTCTCTTGGAAGTGAAACCTCAACAGAATTCACAGATTATACAAAAGTATGAATAGGACGAGAAGTTAAAAGAAAAATTATGAGTTAAACCAACATAAATGAAGAAGAAGCTGACCAGGTATCTTAAAGAGGAGAACAAGAATGAAGAAGAAATGAATCAACTACTCGAGTTCCGGAATCAGATTCGTTACTCGTAACTGAAAGCGGTAAAGAAAATAACACAAGTATTACTGTTGAAAACCTCCTTCCTCAAGAGAGTAAAAAACCACAGCTTATGATGTAATTTGCATGTTTTACATATTACTAGCAGTTCAAATTGTATCCTCTTTGACTTATATATCATGAAATAAAATAGCGGGTAACAACTTATAATAAACTTTATTGTGTTTTAAGACGACAAGATTAAAATATCTTTTGATACATAGGATATTACATATCTTTTATTAAATCTTAAACTCATTTTTAAAATATTAACCTCCTAAAAGAGAGGATTTTTTTTTTTTTTAATTAAAATTTGACCCAGTTGGGTCTTTATTTTATAACTAAAATTAGAAATCCACAACTACATTTACTGGCCCAAAAGTGACCAGCCCACTAAAAACAAATATTATAGAAATTGAAAAGGGCAAGTCTACTAGGAAAGCTCTAAATAGCCCTCTTTTTCTGCAAATTTGGGAAGTCTCCATCAAATTCCATCCGAGACCAGACCAAAGAATGGTGAGTTTTTATTCCCTCTAAACCTTGATTGCTCTTCCTATCTTCCTCCTCTAACTGTCCGTCTTCCTTGAAGTGCAAAGGTTGTTGCCATGAACTCAGCCATTCAAAAATATTTTTCCGTAACGTTTTGCTGCAGAACCTTCCTTTGTAAGTTCTAAATCGACTTATGATCATCTCTTCTTGTACTAATAAAAATTGTATCCCTTTTTTGCATTGTAAAGCTCTGCCACTAGATCTGTAAAGTTCTATAATATTGTTGATGAAATTGTTAGTTGAGATCAACTTCTTTGAAAATCGACACGTGTGACTCATTTGAGTATCTTGGATTGTACTATTCTCGATGTTTGATATGTTGCTTATAATTCTGGTAGTTCTCATGTGATCAATGTCACTGCATTTTCTTGTCCCCCATCCCTCTTTTGATCTATTTTCTTTGTTCTGATTCTTAACGTAGGAAAATGTTGCTTGTCTAGGTTTACGATTTTCCTAGCCTGTCTTGGTAATTCTATAAAAGAATTATAAACAAGTCTACCTAGATTATCAAAAGCCAAATTAGCTAAATAATCAGCCAAAGTATTACCTTCTATGTACACATGTTGAATCCGAACCTATATATATTTATTTATTTTAATTTCGTAAAAATTAATACGTAATGTATTTTTTTTTTTTTAAAACGTAATGTATTTTAAGTATTCTTTTTAATCAACTAATTTCATTTTTAAAGAGTTTTTAAAGAAGCACTATTTGATCTTTAGTTCTAAAGTCAAGTACTTCCTTAGTTTTAGACCAAACACTATAAATATATAGACATTGTAATAATTATATGTGGACCATTCTGAAATATAAGGATTATGGTTAGGCTATAGTCCAGTTGACAAAAAAGTGAGTTTTTTTTAGAACAATTTCAAAATCGTTGACATTACATACCTTAAACTGCTTAAGAGCCCAATTATATATGCAAACGATAGAAAGAATAATACGTTTGTTTGACGACGCTACATGATGGAATTAAGCCTTTCTCAATTAACTATGCCATTGAAAAATCCTACTTGTTTGTTGGCTGAACGAAGGGCTAAATATATAGAAACAGCGGTTACACCATTCAAAAGATACAAATATTTGTATTGCGAATTAATAATAGTTCACTGATTTATTAGGGGGTTACACTTGAGTGATCTTTCCCATCTCAAGTTACAACAAATAGGAGTAAACATGTATCCCTCAGTTTAAAGAAGCATTAAGTTACTCAAAAGTCATGTTCACCACCTCTTCTCTAATAGAATCAAACAGCACAGTGGAAAGATAACGCTCCCCAAAACTAGGGAAGATGACCTGCACAGAGAATTGAAAGAGAAGTTTAGGCCAAAGTTCATTTGCAAAATTGGAACCATGAACTCATCAAGGATTCCCAAGTTAAGAGATGAAATAGATATCAATAAGCTTAATGAAGTAGATCTAACTTACCGCAATAAGTTTCCCAGCATTTTCTGGCTTTTTTGCTACTTGAATTGCTGCAGCAGCTGCAGCACCTGATGATATTCCTACCTGAAAATATTCCAGGAGAAAAAGGGCATATAATCGTAATGATATCAGAACGGACATCACAAATGAAGCAGAGGACACATGCAGAAGTGATCTTTATTGACGGGTGAACTTACCAGCAGGCCTTCTTTCAATGCAAGAAGCTTTGTCATTTCAATAGCTTCATCACTAGATACCTGAACATAAATAAAAGCAGAAGCTGCCATCATACCAGGAAATATAGCCAGTGAACCAAAAAATCAACAGCTTTAGAAACATACAAGAGGACACTAAGGGTGTGTTCGGTATAAAGGAAGGAAAATAAGTGGTTTCTTACTAATTTTCTTGTGCTCGGTATGTATACTATCCTAAAACCATTTGTATATAATCTAAGTCAAATACTATGGGCAGTGAGACAGGTAATAGTGTGGGGTGGTGAGGCTGGGGGCTATGGAGGTTGGGGTGAAGATGAGGTGTGTTGGAGCGTGGGGAGGACAGGACACACTCAATATAGAATACCACTTGTGAAACTTGTTTTCCCTAATTCCATTAGGAAAGTCGTTCTCCTTATTTTTAAGCAACTTGTTTTCCTAAACAAAATGTTTACCAAAAATTTTGACCAACCAAACATGGAAAATAAGAAAACCTATAATGAATTTACTTTGATCTGTTAATAAACTAAATCAGATGGATATGTTTCAGAGATAGAGTAAGCTGGAAACTTTTACATTGAAAAGCCACGATTATTCTGGAGATTCAGACAATTCTGTCAACAAAAGGATATATCTAACTTTACCCTACAAAGCAATCTAGTCTATGTTCGCATACTTCATATCTCTGCTTCTGTGAGTCGTGAATGCGTTAGTTTTATATTAACCGAATTGAAATTGTCAGTCAGAGTATAGCAGATTCATCACCTGGTTAGAGTCATTTGTAAGATATTCAGGTTTTTATAGCAAAATCTCACTCACATTGAGCAGAAATTTAAATGTTTGTAGAATCTCAGAGCTACTTATATGGTATACAGCCTTACTTGAAGAACTCCATCCAGGATGCTTTGATCGAGGACGGCTGAGATGAAACCAGCACCAATTCCTTGAATTTTATGCGGCCCTTTAACAGTAATACATTTAATTACACACATATCAGTATTATATGATAAATAATAGTTCACAGAAGCAGAGATGAAAACACATTGGGTGAGAAATAAGATGGCAAAACTCTTAATTCAATGAGAGTATAGAAATGATGCAATGACATATTAGTTTCTATATTGATTTGGATATTCTGAGAAGACACGGAAAGATGGAAACTTGACTGACCTAGTTGTCCTCCGTTTAGAATTGCATTTTCAGCTGGTTCTATACCATATACCTTTATTTCTGGATTCTTCTCCTTAAGGAACCTTCCTGCTCCCGTCACCGTGCCTCCAGTCCCAATCCCTGCAATGAAAATATCAACTTTTCCTCCTGTGCTCTTCCATATTTCTGGTCCAGTTGTTTCATAGTGGATCTGTACATTCATACTTGATAAGTATGACGATGTTTTTATAGCAAATTAATGAACAAATTATTTGTATTGGAGACACCTTTGGATTGGCAAGATTCTCAAACTGATGAAGAAAATGACAGTTTGGCGTCCTATCTAGAATATCTTGGGCCTTCTGAAGCATACCATCCATACCTTTGGCAGGATCTGTGATGTATAACTCAGCCCCAAAAGCTTTAAGAACAATCCTTCTCTCAAGACTATACGATGATGGCATCACTATCACGAGTTTGTAGCCACGAGCTGCAGCTATAAATGCCAGACCAATGCCGGTATTACCACCGGTTACCTCAAGGAGGACAGACTTTAGGCCATAATTTCCACAGTTCAAAAAACAAGGAAATATCATTTCAGTTCAGCCTTTCAGGCAAATAATCATTCAGAGCACAGGGAACTAAAAGTAAAAGTTTCCATCTCTCTTAGGACAAAATTTCGAATAAACTGGTATTAAGAGAAACGGGCATACATGAAAAATTATGTCAAGACTATTTTATCATCGCATAAAAGTTTATGAAAAAGTACTTGGTAATAATATAATGTAACATCTCCTCAAGCTGCTACTTTTTCCTCCTCAGATGAATTTCACCAACCTTTCCAGGGGTTATCAGGCCCTTATCTTCGGCATCTTTGATCATACTATATGCAATCCTACATATCATAAGTAGCAGATGTGAAAAAATCCATAAATTCAAGATTTTCCAAATTTAGATAAGAATGATGTACACACTAGAAACAGGAAGAAAGATAAGTCCCAAGAAGAAACTGAATCAGGGGATTGAGGAATAAACACCTGTCTTTGATACTCGCGCATGGTTCCATTGTCTCTAATTTGGCTGCGATTTGAGCAGCACAGCCTTCAACAGTTTTGTTGAGATATACCATAGGGGTGTTCCCAATAAGCTACATAGTGAAGACAACAAAATGAGATCATTGGTGCTAAAAAAAAGAAGACGTAAAAAGTACCAAGGAAGATCTCAGCAAGGGAACTTACTTCTGTGACATCCTTCGCTATATCATCCTTCTCTTCCATATTTCCTTACTGACTTACTGCAACAGGATAAAAGAGCTTAATAATATGAAGAAGAGTACCTATGTAACCTACTAAACTCTCAATCATGGAAGTGAAACCACAACGTATGATGATCCAGATATAGAATTTGATATGCATATAAACCATACAAGAAAAAGACCTATTCGAACTTTGACACAGTGATAATGAGACCACAACAAAATCATCAACTTTAGAAGTTATACAAAAGGAGGAATAGGTTGACAACTTTACAAGTCATACTAAAGAAGGAATAGGTTGAAATAAGTTACAATTATCTGGAACTAGAAATTCAAGAAGCAATTTTTTTTTGTTCAAAATTTTGCTGTACACATTGTGGTCCTATTTTGATAACAATTTGAGATTACTACACACCTTTTACATGAATAATAAAGAAAGATATTGTTAAAAGGAACTTCATCTTTTTGCTACATCTTCAAACATAACAATCCCACATTAGCTTTCTTTCAAAATAGAGTAAAATGAAAACCCGGTTAAATACTTACATTAAAATCCTGATTAATTCAGACTCCCGTCGCAAAAGTCACTATTTAACGGGAAAGTTCTCCCTAATAGGTTTTTTTCATATATATAGGTCCCGAACTTGATACCAGACTCTGGTTAAGAATAGAGGAATATTATTTATCCACCATAATCCTTGTTGGTGAGTAATGGTTCAAAACTTAGCTGAGATAAAATAAACTAGGAGATTCTTCACATCTATCCTAGCCTTGGTAGACAAAATTATCCAGTACCAGTTGTTGGTGGGTGGGAGGTGGGGTGGCAGGTATCCCGTGGAATTAATTCTTCATTCTATTTTCAAATACCAAAAGAGTCTACTAATTGAAAAAATAGATAAATTAAAGTGTCCCCCTATATTAATTAAATTGATGTTTGTTTAAGTGCTAAGTTTTTGAACTTTTCTTAAGAACAACAACAGAAGGGAGTGGCCAGAAACAATAAATCCCAAAACTAGACATGTACAGAATACAATTAACTTGAAGAAATCACAAATGTTAACTCAAACAGTATCTTTTCTTTCTGGTTTTGGGAAGAGAAAACAATACCTCTGGTGATATTTTCACAGTTGCTAGCTTCCTTATCCAGGGAATTCAGTAAAAACTCATATGAAAAAGATTAAAAAGATGGGTGGGTATTTATATATATCTCTTTCAATTTGTTTATATACTTTTGACTTGGTAAGTAACTCAGAGAACACTCTTGAATCTTGCTCTATTAAATTCAAAATTTATATAAAATGTTACATAATATCATTGGGCAATGATTCTTTTTTTTTGAATTAATCATAGGAATTAAGAATGGCGTATACAGTATGTCACTGTAAGTTTTGTGCGGTACCGATTGCAAGTTTATTTTTTTTATTATCCTATTATGAATCAAATTTTAATATATTGGTTGGGTGATTTGATTAGAGATAATTTGATGTGTATTGTTGAACATTGAAAAAGAGAAAAGACAAAATATTTGTCATAAATGGAAGGATAAGGTGAATGGAAATTGGTAAGTTGTTCAACGTGGGTCCTGGGAAAATTGTGTGAACTAACTTTAATGAAAAGTTGATAGGTAATGATTGCTACACTGTGTGGTTAGCAATTAGGAATTAGAATTGGAGATACAGTGAGGACGTATGTATTCTTAGGTTTGGAGGTGGTGTTCTTTCCGTGGATCTTTTGGGTCTAGGCTAAACCTATAGTAATATGGATGCTGTTAGTTTTGAAATCTTATTGTGAATATGTACTTGAATAGATTGCATTGATTTGGAAGCTCAACGAAAAGGGAAGGCTCAATCCCTGAAGCGAATTCTTGATTGAATGAGGCAAGTGGATTTCTAAACCCTGGTTAAGTGTATGGAATTCGTGTATTTCCTTGTGATATGTGTTTGGGGGTAATGAGACTTGGTGATGGGTTGACTTGTCCACATTGATTAATTCTAATTATGAAAAATGGGTAATAAAATACAATGTAATTAATTGTTTGTGTGTGATGTGTTGAGAATGGTTTGAAAGGCTTGTTGAAGTATCATGATTGTGTTGATGTGAACTGTGCAATGTTATGAAAATGGTCATCTCCTCATTATATGTGTGAACATATCATTTGCATTGTTCTGAGACATTATTGTGACAAGTGTTATGTGAATTGAGAAAGTATAAGAAATTAAAGAGGATGTACCATTTTGAGGGACGTATCGTGCGCCGCGAAGGATATTATATTTTGAGGGACGTATCGCGCGCCGCGATGGTTACTATTATCGAGGGTCGTATCGCACGCCACGATGGATGCATGAACAAATATGTCCCCCTTGGGTCCCGGACTCAGAGATAGCGGGTGTGTATCGTTAGGTTAGACATGCATCACTATACTTGACATTGCATTTCATTGCATTGCACATTTTTATCATTTATGAACTTGATATTGTGTTTTGCTGATCTTGTAAGTGCATTTCTGTGGAACTTTGATTGATAAATATTTAGCTTGTTGTTGAGGATATGTAATTATTAGAGTATTGTTGTTGGGCTGTGTTCTATGTGAATTTATGAGTTGTTAGGTTGAGCTGGTTTTACGCAAGTTGTAGTTGTGGAGATTGTGATTGATGAATATTTTGAGCTTGTTGTTGAGAATATGTGATTGTTAGAATGTTGTTGTTGAGATATGTGCTTGTGAACTGTTAGGTTAGGCTGATTTTATGCAGGTTATAGTTGTGGAGGTTCGGTTGGGGTGTAAGGAGTACCCGTATTCTAACCCCTTAGCTTGTGTTTAGAGGTTTAATTGCTGAGTACCGCGAGGTTTGGTACTCACCCCTTGCTACTACATTTTTTTGTAGGTTACTAGCCCGCACCTTTGTGATATATTCTTTTCTTTTCCGAGGCTTCTTGATTGTGAGGTAGTTGTTTGTCAATTCAACAGACCTTCTTACTCTTGTTTATGATCTTGTTTTACTGTAGAAACAATGTCATATGAGACTTGTATTTTTCTTTTGATTCAATTGTAATACTTTAGAGGCTTGTACACGTGACAACCAGATTTTAAGGGTATTTTTGAGTTTATTATAAAAAATTTCGCATTTTATTGAAATGGTTGAGTTTTAGGCTGACTTGACGTGCTGGGTTAAGACGAGTGTCATCACATTCATTTTTGGGTCGTGACATTTATGTACATGTATACCGAAATATACAGATTATTAATAGTCATAACAAACATAGAGTTTGCTATGGAGCGCAATTATACAAACTATAGCTATAACATATAAATATGATTTTTATGTTGGACAAATTATAGAAATCACATACTTTTAAGGCAAAATTACAATGTATCCCTTAAAAGTTTATAATTACAGAAATCCCTCAAACGGATATAATAATATAAGCGCTGATACATTAATCTGATGCGCGAGATACATTAATCGTTAAGTAAGATACATTACATTTTATACATAATACACTAATCTGATGTACATTTTATATATGATACACTAATCTGATGCGCGAGATACACTAATGTGTTGCGCAAAAATGAGGGATTTTGGAGATTTATAAAACTTATAGGGGATAATGATAAAAGAAAACTAAAAGGTGATATCTATATAATTAATCCTTTTATGTTTACTAAACCTAAAATTTACTGCTGTCCTCGAAATTACAAAAATAGAAGGTACGGGTGTTACACAAACATTTCTTTAATTTGGATTATCAAAAATTTAAAATTTGTATAGTATATGTTATGTTATTTTTATTTATCTACTATTTCTCAAACACATGTATATAACTGAAACTTATTTCTCCATTAACCATTAGTTTAGGTCAACTTATAATATTCATTAATACAAAAAAAAATGCAGACTTTAGTTGTATTAAAAATAAATATCAATTAATTTAAAATATTAAATATATGGAAAGGAAGCCGAAAAACAACTGGGTATGTTCCTTTTATTTTCCGAAAACGTTTAGTACGATAGTAATTTCTTCAGTTTTCCATTTTTGTAGTTTTTTTTTTCTGTTTTGTTTATTTCCAACATTTTTTTTTCTTTGTAGAAAATTGAAATTGAAATTTACAGGAAAGTCATGATATTGTCACATCTAATTGTACATGAAAATATAAATAAAAAGGCATCAAAAAACTAAAGAATAAGTTTGTTGAAGTGTTATTATGGCTTGGGAGTTGGGACTGAGATGTTAAGTTAAAACTTATATGTATCTAACTATATCCTAATTTATGTATTGAAATAATATGCGATAAATAACTGCCAACATAAAGTCAATCATGTACAAGTTTTATAAACTATTAAGGGATAAACGTGCAACACACGTGTAATGAGTTATAGGAACTTTGAAAGAGAGAGGTTATCTTTCGTCTTATTCAAACTTTTAAGCCTTGTAAGTTTAAGAAGGAGGGGTTAATTCTCGTGTAAACTATAAAAGAGACAAGTAAAAATAGATCTCTTAGCACAAGAGAAGTTAATATCTGTAGGAGAACAAATAGTTTCTGTTTGTACCATTCATATAATATAAGAATGTACAAGTGAACAAAAAGTTCATATCCATTTAAGAGGTTACAACATTTCAGAAGTTTTTATTATTTTTAGCTCAAGTTACAACATTGCATAAAGTTACTCAAAAGTCAAGTTTTCCACCTCTTCTCGAATGGAATCAAACAACACGGTGGAAAGATAACGCTCTCCAGAACTAGCAAAAATAATCTGCATACATAATTTCAGGCCAGTGTTCAAATGTTTTAAGGAGACAGAGAAAGAATGTTATCGATCGATAAGCTTAATGAAACAGATCTAACTTACTGCAATAAGTTTCCCAGCATTTTCAGGCTCTTTTGCTACTTGAACTGCTGCAGCAGCTGCCGCCCCTGACGATATTCCTACCTGATAGTTGCAATGATATAAGAATGGAGGACTCAGAAGTGATCTTTATTGACGGGTGAACTTACCAGCAGGCCTTCTTTCAATGCAATAAGCTTTGCCATTTCAATAGCTTCATCACTAGATACCTGATTAGACATTCATACAAATTTAAATGTTTGTAAAATTTGACAACTAGTATTTATATAGTATACAACCTTACTTGAAGAACTCCATCCAGGATGCTGAGATCGAGAACGTCTGGGATAAAACCAACACCAATTCCTTGAATTTTATGCGGCCCTTTAACATTTAATTACACACATATCAGTATATGATAAATAATAGTTCTTCGAAGCAAAGATGAAAACAGGGGAATTCCTATGTACTGACCTAGTTGTCCTCCATTTAGAATTGCATTTTCAGCTGGTTCTATACCATATACCTTTATTTCTGGATTCTTCTCCTTAAGGAACTTTCCTGCTCCCGTCACCGTGCCTCCAGTCCCAATCCCTGCAATGAAAATATCAACTTTTCCTCCTGTGCTCTTCCATATTTCTGGTCCCGTTGTTTCATAATGGATCTGTACATTCATACTTGATAAGTATGACAGACGTTTTTGTAGCAAATTAATGAACAAATTATTTGTATTGGAGACACCTTTGGATTGGCAAGATTCTCAAACTGATGAAGAAAATGACAGTTTGGGGTCCTATCTAGTATTTCTTGAACCTTCTGATGCACACCATCAGAACCTTTGGCTGGATCTGTGATGTATAACTCAGCCCCCAAAGCTTTAAGAACAATCCTTCTCTCAAGACTATACGATGATGGCATCACTATCATGAGTTTGTAGCCACGAGCTGCAGCTATAAATGCAAGCCCAATGCCGGTATTACCACTGGTTACCTCAAGAAGGACAGTCTTCCGGCCACCATTATTTCAACATTTGAAAATACAAGGAAATCATTTCAGTTTAGCAGTTTCAGGCAATAGGACAGAATTCAAATAACATGAAAAGTTATGTTAATCCTAGTTTTATCATCACACTTGAGAGTCATATAACAATATCTTTTCAAGCTGTTAATAAGTATTCTCGAAACGAATTTCACAAACCTTTCCAGGAGTAATTAGGCCCTTATCTTCTGCATCTTTGATCATACTAAATGCAATCCTACAAATCAGTAACAGATGTGAAAAATCCGTAAATTCAAGATTTTCAATAAGAATGATGTACAAACTGGACGAGGGGATTGAAGGTAAAACACCTGTCTTTGACACTTGCAGATGGTTGCATATACTCTAATTTGGCTGCAATTTGAGCAGCACAACCTTCAACTATTTTGTTGAGATATACCATAGGGGTGTTTCCAATAAACTACATTGTGAAGACAACAAAATGAGATGATTCGATGCTGAAATAGGAATATGTAAAGATCGTACTAAGAAATTAAGATTTCAGAAAGGAAACTACATCTGTGACATCTTTCGCGATCTCATGCGTACTCTTCGCTTCCATATTGTCTTGCTGACTTACTGCAACAAGAAACAAGAGCTAAACATATTCAATAATAGGAAGAAAAGAACATATGTACCTAATATACTCTCGACCGTGGAAGTGAAACGAGAATGTATGACAATCCAGATAACACAATGGAAAACCTCTTTGCTGAAGAGAGTACAATGTGTGGAATTTCAGCTATCAATCTCCACTGACTTCAACTAGCGGTTTCAAATTACAGCCAAAGAGCAAAGTTGGTGGTATTAATACATTAATATCTGCAACACGCAAACAATGCAACTACATATTATGTAATTTACTTATTTTTAATTTAAAATTCAAAAAATTATTTATTTTCCTAAATTTCATATCAAGTAAATAAACAGACAAGGTAATACCTTTACAACTTAATTTATGATTTAAACCACTTTTGGTTAATATTCTGTCTGTTAATAAGTTATACATTATTAAATCTTAAGCTCGTTTTAAAAATATCAACCTCCTAAAAAAGAGGATTTAGCCTATATTTTTTATTATTATTTCATAAAATTTAATAAAGTATTTTCAATATTCTTTCTAATTAATAAACTAATTTCATTTATGAAGAGTTTTTTAAAAAGTACTATTTGATCTTTAGTAATAAAGTCAAGTGCTTAGTTTTAGACCAAAAACTATAAATTCGTAGACATTGTAATATTTAAGATGTCTATGGTTAGGCAGTAGTCCAGTTGACAAAGAAGTAAGATAAAAAAATTTAGAACTTGCATTCAAAATCGTTGATTACATTCTAAGATGATTTTACCCTATCTAAATTGATAATTTCATAACTATTCAGGTTCACACGTCCCAAAAATCATTTCTAAATAATAGTGGTGGGGGGAGGAGGGGGGGGGGGGTAAACTAAAATTGGATGTCTTGTATTGAGTACAAGCCCAATATTTTGTGTATATGTTCATCAACCTGGATTTTTAAAACATTTGAGATATAGAATAAGCTTTAATGTGAGATTTTCTGGTGAATTCAAATTTAGTCAAATGCAACACTAAGTGGGGAAAAAAAAAAAACCGGAATAAGGTACAATTAGCACGAAATTTGAAGTATCAGGGGTGTTATAGTTGATAAAATTATATAGTAATTTGCTCAAGTGAATTACACTTATAAGACACTATTAAAGCTCCACTACTTATTCAAAAGATTATGAGTTATCAGTTTTTGTAAAAAATAATACTACTAATTATAAGTACTTTACAAACAAAATTATACAGCAACCCAAAATTATACCAAATCAACAATTAAGTCGCCACATAAGCTCGGTCAATGGTTAGAGGGGTTTAAGGTGTTGAATTTTACTGAGTTAAAAGGTTCAGTTGACAAAGAGGTAAGTAGAAAGGTTCAGAATACAAACTCATTCAAGTATAAGGGTCCATCAGTTCATTTCGCCTACAATATATGCAAGAGATTATAAGTTAACTTCTTTTTGTTTTTTTTAGTTCAACTTGTAATATTTTGACGTTTTCTTATATGCATGCATTTTTGGAAAAGAAAATAAAAGTAAAGTTTACAGTAAGATAACAACGTTTTAAAAAAAATAAAATAATATATTTTGTATGTTTAATTTGGAAGAACATTTGCTGGCATCGTACTACAGTATCATGAATCGTGATATAATTTCTTCCATTTTAGTAGTTGTTATCATACTACAGCTGGCAAACAATAGATTTACCAATAATTCAATAGCTAGATTAACCAATAATTGACTTTTAGTTTAAAAATAATGTTATTTATCACGAAATATGCATATGGAGAAAGTCAAATTGAGCTTCAAGAAGAGTAAGTTAGTTTAGAATTATAATTCTTGGACTAATTTATCCCATCTCACAGGATTAAATTTGAAATTAAATTTATACTTTGATTGATTGAAAATATAAATTAATTCATCCCAAATTAATATATGCTGGGATATCCCATTTAGACCAATTTAGGAGCTTACAATTCAGTTGTTTTTACATATAACTTCCTATCTCTCAATCCAAAGAAGCATAAAGTTACTCAAAAGTCATGTTTTCCACCTCTTCTCGAATGGAATCAAACATCACGGTGGAAAGATAACGCTCTCCAGAACTAGCGATAATAATCTGCATACATAATTTTAGGCCAGTGTTCAAAAATGTTTTATTGAGACGGAGAAAAAATGTTATCAGCTTAATTACTGAATAGAATTAACTTACCACAATAAGTTTCCCAGCATTTTCTGGCCTTTTTGCTACTTTTACTGCAGCAGCAGCTGAAGCCCCTGATGATATTCCTACCTGAAAATATTCCAAAAGAAAAATTAAGTATAGCCGTGACGACGACATAATAAGAACACACATCACAAATGAAGCGGTAGACAAGCAGAACAGGTGAGATTAAACCAGGACCAATTCCTTGGATTTTATGTGGCCCTTTAATGGTAATAACATTTAATTACACATATCAGTCTACGATAAAAAAATAAAAAAACTCACAGAAAGTAGTGATGAAAACACGGTATGACAGATGAGCTGGAAAAACTCTTTATATGGAACTAATGCAATGGCATTTTCAAAGGGGGAAAGAAACTCGACTGACCTAGTTGTCCTCCATTTAGAAATGCATTTTCGGTTGGTTCTAAACCATATACCTGATCTTCCGACAAGACAAAAGGTGGAAAGAAAATCACAAATCAAGTCCGAAGGAAAGAAGAACAATGCCGGTCACAAATTACCTTATTCTGGATTCTTCTCTTTAAGAAACCTTCCAATTCCTGTCACTGTGCCTCCAGTCCCAATCCCAGCAATTAAAATATCAACTTTCCCTCCCGTACAATTCCATATTTCAGGTCCAGTTGCTTCATAATGTATCTATAAAATGGATACTTGATAAGTGTTATGTTTTTTATAACAAATGAATTGAGTTATTTGTATAGACACCTTTGGATTGGCAGGGTTTTCGCTCTGATGAAGAAAATAACAGTTCGGTGTTCTATCTATTATCTCTTGGGCCTTCTGAAGCACACCATCCATACCTTTGGCAGGATCCGCGATGTATAACTCAGCCCCCAAAGCTTTAAGAATAATCCTTCTCTCAATACTATTATTTTGCTCCCATCACTATCACAAGTTTATAGCCACGAGCTGCTGCAATAGATGCAAGACCAATGCCGGTATTTCCACTGGATACCTCAATGAGGACCGTCTAAAGCCACCATTATTTCAACATTTCGAAAACCAATAAAATAATTTTAGCTCAGCCTTTCAGACAAATGATCATAGACCACAGGGAACTACAAGTAAAATTTGTGACAAAGTACTTGGAATCACATAATGTGTTCCTTTTTCCTCATGATATTTATCCTAACACAAACTTAACTAACCTTTCCAGGCGTAATCAGTCCCGTCTTCTGCATCTTTGATCATACTCAATGCGACCCTACATATTAAGAATAATTCAAGATTTTGCAAATTAAGCGAAGAAACAGGATGAGGGGAGTGAAAGATAAACACCTATCTTTGATACTTGAGCATGGTTGCATTGTCTCCATTTTGGCTGCAATTTGGGCAGCACAACCTTCGATGACTTTGTTGAGATATACCATAGGGGTGCTTCCAATAAGCTAAATTGTGAAGACAACCAAATGAGATGGAATATGATGATGGATGTAAAGAGTACCAAAAAGATGTCAGACAGGAAACTACTTCCGTGACATCTTTCGCGATCTCACTCTTCGCTTCCATACTGTCTTGCTGACTTACTGCAACAAGAAACAAGAGCTAAACATATTTAATAATAGGAAGAAGAGACCTACTATACTCTCAATCATGGAAGTGAAACGAGAATGTATGACAATCCAGATAATTAAGGAATGTGCTATATATCTATAGTAATCATACAAGAATAAATCCTACTCGAACTTTAACACTCTCTTGGAAGTGAAATCTCAAAAGAATTCACAGATTATAAAAAAGTATGAATAGGACGAGAAGTTAAAAGAAAAATATGATTTTAAGCAACATAAATGAAGAAGAAGCTGACCAGGTATCTTAAAGAAGAGAACAAGAATGAAGAAGAAATGAATCAACTACTCGAGTTCAGGAATCAGATTCGTTACTCGTAGCTGAAAGCAGTAAAGAAAATAACACAAGTATTACTGTTGAAAACCTCCTTCCTCAAGAGAATAAAAAACCACAGCTTATGATGTAATTTGCATGTTTTCCATATTACTAGTAGTGTGATGATCATTTCAATTCAAATATCTTTCAATACATGTTACATATCTTTTGTTAAATCTTAATACGTACGTAATGTATTTTAAGTATCCTTTCTAATCAACTAATTTCATTTTTAAAAAGCACTATCTTTCTAATCAACCAATTTCATTTTTAAAAAGCACTATTTGATCTTTAGTTTTTAAGTCAAGTACTTCCTTAGTTTTAGACCAAATACTATAAATCGTAGACATTGTAATATCTATATGTGGACCATTTTGAAATTAATATAGGGATTATGGTTAGGCAATAGTAGAGTTGACAAAGAAGTGAGATTTTTTTAAAAACAATTTAAAAATCGTGACATTACGCTTGTTTGATGATGCTTCATGATGGAAGCCTTTCTCCATTAACTATGCCATTGAAAAATCGTACTAGTTTGTTGGCTGAACGAAGGTCTAAACAGAAACAGTGGTTACAACATTCAAATGGTACAATTGTTTGTATTGCGAATTAATAATAGTTCACTGATTTATTAGGAGGTTACACTTCGAGTGCATCTTTCCTATTCTACCTCAAGTTACAACAAATAGGAGTAACATGTATCCCTCAGTTCAAAGAAGCATAAAGTTAGTTACTCAAAAGTCATGTCCACCACCTCTTCTCTAATAGAATCAAACAGCACAGTGGAAAGATAACGCTCCCCAAAACTAGGGAAGATGACCTGCACAGAAAATTGAAAGAGAATTTTAGGCCCATGAGCTTATCAAGGATTCCCAAGTTAAACAACTGATAAAGAGATGAAGTAGATATCAATAAGCTTAATGAAGTAGATCTAACTTACCGCAATAAGTTTCCCAGCATTTTCGGGCTTTTTTGCTACTTGTATTGCTGCAGCAGCTGCAGCACCTGATGATATTCCTACCTGAAAATATCCGAGGAGAAAAAGGCGGTATAGTCATGATGATATTAGAACGGACATCACAAATGAAGCAGAGGACAGACAATCTGTGGACTCACAAGTGATCTTTATTGACAGGTGAACTTACCAGTAGACCTTCTTTCAATGCAAGAAGCTT